AAGGTCACGTGGGTGGGGGCTCGAGCCGGTTTTGCATTGCATTATTGAAACGGAACCCCTAGATACTGAACCCGGCCCTTGTAGCTGCCAACTTAGATGGGCAGAAGGGTTACAGTTGTAATAAAATATTTGGATCTCAGGCAGAGCAAATCTGAGTGTAGATAAGTGCTAACCTTTCCATTTGCACAGCCAATGCTTTGCCCATCCACAGCTCCTACTCACAAGCACAGACTGGGGGGGGGCAGAATTGGGCCCTAACAAACCCCTCTTCTACTTCGCATTCTGTTTTTCTTGCCAGCAGCCAAGTTCCATATGTCGGGACTCCAAGCCCAGCTCACTGAGCCCCACATGCTGTTTCAAACAGAGCCGTGTGGATCCACAGGAACAGTTCAGAGTCACATTCGCTCTGGATCCCAGAGTGAGATCTGAAACCAGTTGACACGTCTTGGTTCAAACATGATCATACTTTCTTCAGCTCCCTCTTCACCCTCAGCCCAGCTCCCACTGCCTGAAACTCCTCCGAACACTGAATCAAAGTCCCTTAATCCCTGTCTCTTTACTTTTGGTTTTATTTTAAACCTCTGTCTGTCTCTCACCAAGTTCCCCCCTCTCATTACATCACCTTTCGCTCTGCGTTGCCTCCAGAAGCAGTAACTGGCCAGGGCCATGAGAACAGCCAGAAGAACCAGGATCACCCCCAGAGCCACCATCCAGGGATTGACCCTTGGGAAAAACAGCTCTGCAAGAGAAAGTGCCATTGACTAGGGCGCAAACACGCCGAATGATGGCAGGACACTGTGCTAGTGGTGACACAGTGACTAGTTAAAAGACTCACAGGGAACTACACAGGGAGATGTGGCTGCTTTGTGCTTTATTATTAAGCCAATGGAAGCCCAAGCTTTAGCCTGGTTACTGAACATGGTTAATTAATGGGAGGGGCGTATTGGGGATAGGGAGGGGGCAGGGGGCAGCTCCATTATGCTACCCCTATCCCCCACTGGCATAAATTCAAGCATTCCCTAGGTTGCTCTAAGTGATCCCAAGGCTGCAGTCAGTGCAGACTGGCCCTCAGAATCAGAGAGTTGTGATCAGCTTCCTGACACCCCCAACTCTCCTGTGCTCCCAGGGGCTCAGCTACATGAAAGTGTCTGGACCAAAATAAGCTAATGAAGGATTTTAATAAAAACAAAACTTGAGCCTATAGATTCAGAGTAAAAATTCCTCCAGAGTCCTCTTCCCTGGGCCTTGGAGCAATGGCTGACTAGACGGCTCTTTGCTAAGTGATTAGTGCGGTGTATTGAAAACTGTAAAAGTTACAAGCTGACACTTGAAATCCTGAGGGGATTCCTAGTCCTGCTTGCAGGCTAAAGGGTTCTGTAGGGAGCGTGCATCTGGGTCCTCTCCAGTCAGTCTGCAAAGAGCCAGCCTAGAGCAGGGTAGGTTTGGTTCTACCTCTCTGCCAGGGGCAGCTCTAGCTATTCTGCTGCCCCAAGGACAGCAGGCAGGCCGCCTTTGGCGGCCTGCCTGTGGGAGGTCCACAGTTCCGCGGATTCGGCATACCCGCCGCTGAATTGCCGCCGAAGCTGCAGGACCGGCGGACCACCCGCAGGCATGCCGCCGAAGGCTGCCTGACTACCGCCTTCTCAGGGACTGACAGGGCGCCCCCCGCGGCTTGCCGCCCCAGGCACCCGCTTGGAGCGCGGGTGCCTGGAGCCGCCACTGCTCTCTGCCTTAAGGAGCAGCCTGCTTTGCCTCTCTCTGTATTTGGCTATGGCATGTTAGAGTTCTGGATTCTTAGAAATAAAGCAGTGCTACATTGCAACCTTACAGGAACATTATTTATGTTCTGTTTGTAACTCTCTGTGTGTGTGCTGTGAACACAGCCATCAGGTAATACTGGGCATATCATAGACTAACCAGCAGTGTAGCACTATGAGACCTCAGATGAATGATGCTTTACAAATACAACATTCTTACTATTATAGTGCTGAAATATTCATTCGATAGTAACCAAGTTATTTGGTAGATAATAATTCATAAAATCACAAACTTTTTTTCCTAAAAATTAAGATGCTCTCAGGTAAGATTTTGTTTCTGCCTATTTTGGGACTCAACTTTTATTGCTGGTATTTTCAGATGTAATCTAAGTAGCGATGCTCGGACCATATCCAGAGGGCTCTCTTGTGCTGTTCAGGAAAAATGACTTTATTACCCATATTTTCATAAATACTCAGCACCCAGCAGCTCTCACTGAGAACAGAGGAGAATTCCCTCCCCCATCCCCATTGAGAACTATGATGGTCACAGCACACAGAGACGTTAGATACAAACATAAATACTCCTGCTGGAAGGTTGCAGCGTAACATGACTTTATGTCCTAGAATCCAGAACCTTAAGACACAAGAACCCCAAAACAGAGAGGGGGGCTGCTTCCTGAGGCAGTGGACACAACTCACCCCACTTTGCTTTATGGTGGCTCGTCCATAGGCACAGATTGTGCATGGCAGGCTGGGATGTAAATCCACCTCGCATTAGCCTGCTGTGCCCTAACTGGCTGTGTGCACCTGGCTGCACTGCACTAAAAGTTCCCTGGTGCACTTTGATCTGTTCCTGTTTCAAAGTGGGGCAGATCAAAGCGCACTATGGAACCGTTAGTGGATGTAGCAGGGTCCACACGGACAGTTAGTGTGCAGCAGGCTAGTGTGAGACAGATTTACACCCCAACTTGCCACAAACTAACTGTTCCTGTAGACAAGCCCTGATTCTGCTCACAGGCTTTGCTACAGAGCCCTCTAGCCTGCAAACAGGACCGGGAAACCCCCCCACTCTTAAAGTGACAGCTTGCAATTCTAACACAGTCCTCACTACAGCACAAGAACAAAGGAGAATTCCCTCCCCCACCCCTACTGAGAAGAAGGATGATTGCTGGATACTGAGCTATTATGAAAATCTGGCCAATGGTGTCCCAGCCTTCAAGGTGCTAAACACCCTCAGCTCCTACTGGAGTCGAAGGGTACGTCTATACTTCAATTAGACACCTGCAGCTGGCCCATGTTAACTGATTCAGGCTCACTGGGCTTGGGCTAAGGGGCTGTTTAACTGTAGTGTAGGTGTTGGGGCTCAGGCTCTGGGACTCCCCCACCTTAGAGCCCAAACCCGATCGTCTACACCGCAATTTAACAGTTCCTTAGCCCAAGCCCCTTAGCCTGAGCCAGCTGGCACAGGCCACCAGCAGGTATTTAACTGCAGTGTAGACATATCCCAAGAGAACTGAGGTTGTTCAGGACTTTACAAGATGTGCTCAGCACCTTGAAGGTTCGGGCCAATGAACAGGAGACACAATGATAAATACTCTCTGCTCATGTCTGCAACATCTCGGTCTATCCACGGACAGGCACTGACCTGCTATGGAAATCGCTGTCTCTCTCTCCTGGTTGAGTCGGGGGTTCCTGACAGAGCAGGACACTTTCTGGTTGGACTCTTCTGTTAGAACAATGGCAATCTCTGTTTGAAACAGGTCATTGGCCTTTGGGGTTATTTCTTCAGAGGCCGATGGTAAGATCTTCCCCTGGAGATCTCTCCACTGAACCTTGGGCTCTGGGTACCATCCGGATGATCGACACACTACCCGGATCCCTCCATCGTGATGTCCCTCCACAGAGATGTCAGGATCAGAGCCCATATCTACAGAAGAAATAAATGAACTTGTGATAATCCTACAGTGCCCAGTAAAGAGCCAAAAGTTTTATTACACTGTTATCAAAAGCCATTTCCTATTAAACTAATAATTGACTGAGAGTTCATAAGTGTGGTTGATCAGTTAATCTGGTCAGATTCTTATTTGATATACCGTAAAATAAATGTTAATGTCAGGGCTTTTCTATGCACAAACTTGCTCCAGTTTAGTTAAACTGGTTGTGTTAATCCAGGGCAAATCCCCGTGTGGACACTCTTAAATCAAGAAGGAATTGACTCAAGCTAAAGCAATATAAGCCATTTCCAAACCCATTTAAGTGTCCACACAGAGGTTTGCATTAATTCATCGAAAGCAGTGCACATGTATGTGTAGACAAGCCTTACATTAATTCACAGATAAAAAAAACCTTGTAATAGGGGAGTTTGGGTTGTGTTGGCAGGGCCTTGTACCCTTCCAGAATGCAGAAGTGGGTAGCAGAAAACTGGTACCTCCAAAAGCCAGGAAATACACTCAGCAAAACAGAAACACAAACACTAGATAGAAGGAAATGACGGTTAAGGTCACGCCTCCCACACCAGATGACACTTGGATTTTTTTAGTACTGACAAGCTAAACTGAAATAAAATTCTCTTAATCTGAAGCAAGAGTCTTGTACCTTAATCAGGTGTGAATTCAAACAGATTTCACTATTGCGGTGCCAGTGTGTATGCAGAGAGGCCCTTAGGCTGTTTGGAAATTTCACACAGACCAGCCTAGAGAGGGAAACAACCTCCCAGGAGAGACAGAGAAGGGACGGGTGTCTGGAGCCTTCCCCGTGGGATTCTTGCCCAGAAGAGCACAGGCTATTGAGTCCCCTCCCAGCAGGGGTGTGACTCACAAGGCTTTGGTCCAAAAGACTCATGGGAAATGCCCAAGAGCCACAGACAAGAGCTGAGGTTAAAGGGCCTATGGTGCTTCTAAAGGGTTCTGTGCTTCTGTGTCTGATCCTTTTAAACAGTTCACTGATTCCAGCTAGTCAGGGATTAGCAAGTGTAAGGTCTGGGGACTTTTTTCTGCAGCCACATTAGGAGAGCAGCAGCCATGAGCCAAGAAGCAGAAACCATCCTCACATTCCATCTAAATTACGTTAAAACAATGTAATATCGGGCTGCAGTGCCATAACAAGGGCGAGGCGAGTGAGGCACTTGCCTCAGGCGCGCAAAGCGGAGGGGTGCAGCTCTACCGCCCAAGCGGAGAAAAAAAAAAGAAGAAAAAAGACATATCTGGCTTCAAGACTAAACTTGATACGTTTATGGAGGGGATAGTATAATGGGATAGCCTAATTTTGGCAATTAATGGT